TTTAGAAAAATATCGATGTTTTAAAAAAAATTCAACTGCAATTTTGAGGGGGGGGGGGGGGTTGTAGCCTGAGGTGTGACGTCATTTTAGGGGAGTGGTCTGGCTTTTTATGACGACGTGTGACGGAGGGGAGGGGGAAGGTAAAAATCGTCAAAAAAAGCATGACATCATTTATGGATGACCCCTTAGTAGTTAATGTGTGTGTGTGTGTTAGGGGAATGGTTGGCGTTTCACCCAATCGTTAATTTGTAGCCTTGTCTTACGGTGAGATCTTAAAGTACGCCATTGTAGTTGTGGGTGTGATTTATGGTAGTGCTCAGTCAAATGTTTAGGGGTAGGTTGTGTGGTTGTCATAATGATCTATGGATTTTAGCGCTACTAGCTATTAGGGCACGTATATTGAAAATTAATATTCTTGATTCAATGCCTGTTGGTTGGTTTTTTTTTTGTGTTTTTAAAATATTATTTTGTTGGTTAATAATTGTACAACTGATAGACGCAGGAAATACAGAAAGACAGCCATGTATTTAACCAAGCTTATCGCATTTTCCCGAACAATCTGCTAGGTTAGTTGTAAACAGCTTCAATCCATCAATGACTCAGTCTACGAGAGGTGGGGGGGGGGGGGACACACCGTTCCATTACCGTAGATCTACGCTTACAATGTCTTCAATGTTGGGGAGGTGGGGGGGGGGGGGGCACCGTTCCATTACCGTAGATCTACGCTTACAATGTCTCCAATGTTGGGGAGGGGCAGACGGCGACACGGCGACAATCCGGGAGGCGACACGGGCGACAATCCGGGAGGCGACACACAACACAAACACATCGTGTGCTGACCCCGCTTGACTGTCGTGACATTTTATTAGCTGTGTTTTTTTAACACTGCAGTTCAAGGGCGGTGACTCTGATTTACTACATGTGTTTTATGTTTTCATAGCTGTGGTCTTGCCTCTCCGTGTAAGTGCCATCGTTTTGTTAATTAAATTTATTTTAATTAAACATTTTTTAATTAAACATTTACTTTAAAAAAATATGTCGGCTACTACCTCATAACTTGCATGTATAAAGGTGAGGTTTTGTTGGACATTTCTTAGTGACTGGGCCTTTGTGTGTGCGTGTGTGTGTGTTTGGGGGGGGGGGGGGTGTTAGATGAATTGTTAATTAGCCAAATTAACTATTTGAATCTACTGAAGTTACCCACATTACCCACATCTACTTTTAAAATCTATTTGTTGTAGAGGGACAGTGAAAATTCTCCAGTAATTTAATTATTTTTTTTTTTGTTAATAAATTAAATTCATTTTTGTTAAATATTGATATTACACACCATAAAATTAGACTATATCAAACTTTCTTTTTTTTCACGGCCTTTAAATTAAACTTAACCTCATAACGTAAGCTAGATATGCTCTCCGCTTAATCCTGCAATCAGCCTCTCCTAATGTCAGCCTCTCCTAAAGTCAGCCTCTCCTAAAGTCAGCCTCTCCTAAAGTCAGCCTCTCCTAAAATCAGCCTCTCCTAAAGTCAGCCTCTCCTAAAGTCAGCCTCCATTAAAGTCAGCCTCTCCTAAAGTCAGCCTTTATAAGACACCTCACACACATAACTCTTGTCTGTTTCATGTCGACTACCTCCCCTAACCCTCCCCCTTAACCCCCCCGGTAAAAAAAAAAACCTGCAGGTGGGAGGTGCCAAATAAAACACCTGTATGAATGTCCCACGTGACGGTCATGTCACCTCAAACACCGGCCCTCGGTCATCTTTACCTGTGGTCACTTTGTTTGCCGATAGATTAACTTTTCAAAGCCCAGCCCTCCCCCTCCCAAACAAAATACAACATAAAAATTGACTGAGCATTACTTTTTTTAAATGTGACAATTTTTAAGTACCACTTGACAGGGGAGACTATCTTGTTATTACGAATGAATGAATAGCTGGACTTAGCATACAGCTAAACACTTTAATTAGTTTAATTTCTACAAATAAACAATCAGTTGAGTATGCTTCTATAAACACATGTGACATTGTCTATCAGGGATGACTGATATTTAACCACAGTTTTAGCTACGTTTAAAATTATGCTTAGGATTGTATTTGAAATATCGTTATTGGTGATATTTTGAAACTACTGTATGTACATATAAGTATGGGTAGTTTTTTTTTTTTTAAATAATTTACGCCGCTGTTAAAATAATCAGATACGCTGGCCAACACAACCAGTATTGTGTCCACTAATTTGTTTACTAGCTAGTTGTGTAGGTTTTACTTGGGCACCCGACTCTATTTAGGGAAAGTAAAAGCGGGTGAGCTAAGGCTGACTACACTATCCCCCTGTATACCGAGGTTACAAACCAACGCGGGTCATAGATGAGACCCATGTGGCGCATGGGTCATTAACCATGGTGGATCAAAAGTCTCATTTGTTTCAATTATGTGAAGTCAAACAGTGCACTAACACTGCATAGGTGCGTCTTCAGGATTAGTGAAAAGACAGGTCCGCCTTGTCCGGAGTTGTTACCATACTGTATAATTAACATGCTTCCCCAGTGGTATTACACTGTGTGGAATTCAATGCTGATCCTCATAATACATTTTATTTTGTGGAGAGTAGGCCCTACTAGCTTAGTAGCTTAGAGGGAACAGTGGGCTTGACTATTAGTTTATGCTTAAAATGTGAATACGCCTAAGTTGAACATGACTTAGTAAGCACATTTGTTCACTCAAGATAATTGCCCCGGGGCCTACAGAACGTTGAAAAAAAAATTTCATAGGCTGCTGAGGTTAAAATGCTTTTGCCGATGGCAAAGTTTTGTAGAGAAAAATAACCCATTTCGACACCGCCTAATGTACATGTAACATAGACACCTCCATGTTCACTTATGGCCGAGTTCTAGGCGGTATCAAATGGCGAGTTTCGATATTTAAAAAAAAAATGATTTCGACAGTCTTAAAGTCTGCAGGGGCATGTATTATAAGCACTGCAAAGGCCTAGGCCAGGGGTCGGCAACCTTTCGAAGCGGAAGAGCCAAAAGTTACAATTTTCAAAATTTCCCTGGTTTTAAAGAGCCACTAACATTTTTTTTATTACAAGTATTTTATTTTTTGATTAAGATTATTAGTATTTGTGCAAGGAGCTGGAGAGCCGCGTCTTGACATCAAAAGAGCCGCATGCGGCTCGCGAGCCGCAGGTTGCCGACCCCTGGCCTAGGCCTAGTAAATATAATTTTCATATAGATATGTTGGTTCGGGGAGGAAATGCAGTTTTTAGAATTTTCTCTGTGACAAGAACATTACCCGCACTTTATTTTTACTAAATAATCCTGCAAACAAAGGGTTCTTAAAAAAACTACACCTTATAGAAGAGGTCGTCCATAAATGGCATCACACCCCTAGGGGGAGGGGTTCTCACTGTTGTGACGATGTGCGACACTAGTGTGCAGTGTTGGGGGGGGGGGGGGGGTTGCAGAAATTATGACGTCAACGTTTTTTGTATTTTAAAAGCAATATTGACAACTTGATGTGCCAGCTATTTCGCAGTTTCTCAAGACGTTGTTAAGGTTTAAATTATAAAAATGACCAGTATACCTAATTTGGACTCAGCTTCTTTAATATTTTTGAAAGAAATTTTTGTTTAAATAAACAAAAATCGCGGAATGTGGGGTGGATGTTAGCTGAAATGTGTCGTCATTTTTATGGACGATTTTTCTGACTTATGTGTTACTATGTGTGACGATGTATGATGTGAAATTCATCAACAAAAGTATGTTATGGACGGTCCTTTTGTTACAATTTCCTCTACCAATTCAAGTTTTTTATTTCCTGTTTAGCGCTATTCAAATATTCAAACAATACAAAATGGGCAATTTAAAAGTTTGTTTTAAAAAAATTGAGAGTATGAAAAAAAATGATACCACTACCATCTTCCATGAATGTTGAATAGACTATTGTCTGTGGTCAAACGGCCTTATACTTACGTGCAGGTCACAATACGATCTACCACCGTGCAGGTCACTAGCTGTAAAGTAAACTATAGTCCTTATTGTTAATATTGGTTGACAAATAATACAAAGATATGTGTTAGCTAACTCTTGTGTCTTTATACAGTTGGTTGCCTTTGTTTTTCGCCAATTATGTTGTGTGAGCTTGTCGTTGGGAAGGGGGGGGGGTGAATTGTGAAACATGACGTTTTTAAAGTTGTGCCTTTAAAATCGAACATTTATTGTATTACAATAATTTAAAATACAACGTCGTATTCTGTTACTTGATTGTTGTTAGATGGCCTCTTCTTAGTTACAAAAATCGTAGAATGTAAACATGGTCAATTTTTTTTTTACCAAACAAGAATAAACGCAAATAAAAGGTATTAGACTTTTAAGAGTATCCTCTTGATGAATAAAAAAAAGGAAAGCCCGGATTTCTATTAATTAAGGTAATTATGAATTAGGGATAGTAGATCGTGAACCTATATTAAGCGTAAAACGTTATTGCCAGAAGCAAAGACCGAGGTACGTGTCTGCTAGCCAGTTCAGCAGTTTAAAATAATCGTTTAGGTGGGGGCGGGGAGAAGGGGGCGGCGTGAGCGGGGGGGGGGGGTGACACTAAACAAGTTTGGCAAGTACCAGGACATTTAGTATTTGGCAGAGTATCGAGCCAGTGGGGCCCAATATCAACACACAACCTGTTGGAATGTGTTGTAGGTTAACACACACCAGTGAAGAAATGTGTTAAGGCTACACACGTGTTGTGTGTGGGGGAATTCAGACCCCATCGTCTGCCACACACTCCACACATTCCTGCAGACTTGAATTCATGTGTGATATTTTATAGGACGTTGACTTGGTGTTGAACCACACACTGGATTCTTCATTCAATATGGAGTTTACAACAGTTTCGCTATAGGATTTTCTGTTGGATTGAAAAGAATTTCTGTTTATCACTGGATCTAGTTGTATCACGTGGATCTAATTTAAAAAACAAAAAAAAAACAACAACAATAAATTAGCCTGGTGTGTTGGTGACATCTGGTGGTTGAAACTGTTTTGAGCTGAGCTAAGACTGGCGTTTTAAGCTCAGACAACAGAAAACATCACAGCTGTTGTATACAACGATGGTGGTGTTTGGTGGTGTATATTCTAATGGTGTCTGTGGTGTCATGATGTGGTGATACGGATCATGGCGTGTTTTTATTTATTTTGTCAAGGTAAACTTTAGTTCTATTTTGGTCAGGATAAAGTTTTGTTCTGTTTTGGTTAAGGTAAAGCTTAGTTCTATTTTGATGATTTTTTAACTTGCTCTTTTATACTGGTAAACAGCACTTTACGCAGTTTCCTATGCAAAAATGTTACTTCATGTCTGTGGATCTTTATATTGTTGAATATTTAGATAAATAAATGAATGGATACATTGGTGGGTGGATGATTCATGATTGGAGTGATATAATTTAGTATAGACACTCGATGGATACATTGATGGGTGGAGGATTGGAGTGATATAATTTAGTATAGACACTCGATGGATACATTGGTGGGTGGATGATTGGAGTGATATAATTTAGTATAGACGCTCCTGGTGTGAGGACATGAGGATAGGTCAGGGGTCGGCAACCTTTTGAGACGGAAGAGCCAAAAGTTAACATTTACAAAATTTCTTAGCTTTTAAAGAAAGGTTATTTTGTTGAGGATGAATCTCATATATCGTGGTATTAAGTGCAAATGAATTATCTCCCATTTGAAAACTAGTCAAGGGATGTAACGTAGAGTTGAATAGCTAAAATAACAAAAATAAACAAAGACACCTATAAATAATATAATACAGCAGCATAAATGTAGATGAACTATTTATTCAATTAATGAAATATATGGATTATCGAAATTTATAAAAATCATATTATTAAATTAACGACTACTAAAAACAATATAAAAATTATAAACTTAAACGTATTAGCGTTATTTTTAGACATAGTAATACAAATACAATCCATTCCATTCCATATTACTCTGTTGTCGCTTCCTAAGTTTGAAATACTTTGGCTCCCCCTAAAGGGGTAATTATTGAAGTGATAGGCCGTATCTAAATATTCTAATACAGGGGTCGGCAACCTTTTGAGACGGAAGAGCCAAAAGTTACAATTTTCAAAATTTCCCAGATTTTAAAGAGCCACTAACATTTTTATTTTAATATTATATATATATATATATATATATATATATATATATATATATATATATATATATATATATATATATATATATATATATATATATATATATCAATGTATGTAGTATGTAAGTGTGTGTGTGTGTGTCTGTTTGTCTTTTATTCATTACTACACCTTTCATCCGATCGCCATGAAACTTTAGGAAGCTGTTGAGAATACTTATAGGGAGATATTTGCGAAAATAAAATGTCAAATTTGCAAATAGAATAGCGAGTGTTTATTGTTTATATTTATTAAATCGTTAATTACCGAGTGTTGCAGACTAATATTTTTATTAGCTTCAAGAAGAAAATAAAATAATTATTTGTCCATGGAACTGAAGAGCCGCACCTCGACATCAAAAGAGCCGCATGCGGTTCGCGAGCCGCAGGTTGCCGACCCCTGTTCTAATAGAATAAAGAGTATTTATTGATTTTTATTTTATCGTTCATTACCGAGTGTTGCAGAACAATATTTTTATGAGTTTTGAAAATAAAATAAAACAATTATTAACATTTGTGCATGGAGCTGAAGAGCCGCATTTGGACATCAAAAGAGCCGCATGCGGCTCGCGATCCGCAGGTTGCCGACCCATGGGATAGGTAGATCGATTGGATGAACGGTTATACGATGTATGGATGGGGGAATGGGCATATTGTTGGATGAGCGTTTGTTAGGAAAAGTGGATAGTAAAATATAGGGTTGGATGGGTGGTTGGGGGGGGGGGGGTAAATGGGAGCATTTAACGAATAGTTAAATGACTGATGGTTAGATGAATAGACTGACTGAATAAGGTATGCATAACTATATGGATAGATGGGTGGACTAAGTTATTTATAAAGAATTCGATGGGTATAGTATATGAATGATTCTCTAACTAAAAGGTTCATATAGACGTATTACAAATCAAGAAATAAACACAATGAACAGTATGGTAGTATATAGAGACAGGCCAGTGGCGTAGCGAGGTCGGGTGTCACCCGGTGCGGCACTTAATGGTGTCACCCCCCCCCCCCCCCCAGAGGCATAGAGACCCTTCCCAGGGACAAACTTTCAAACTTTCGATTTGCACCCCCCCCCCTCGAGTTTTTCTCTATATATTTTGCTATTTTTTGCCTTGGTGTCACCCCCCTAAATGGTGTCACCCGCTGCGGTCCGCACCCCCCGCCCCCCCCCCCCCTCGCTACGCCCCTGAGACAGGCACAACATTACTAAACACACGTACACGTATTTTTTTTTACTACGTGCCAATGTCGTCGTATTTAATGTACTTTTTCCTCTTGTGGAAATGTAGGACGTTTTTCAATGTTTTTCAATGGAATGCCTACTTAGATCTATATACACATCTAGTACCAAGATCTGCATGCTTGGCGGGTGGATCATAAAACGGGATCTTTGTATTCATAAGCTACACATCAAGCACTGTATATTTATAAGTTACATAATAATATAGTGTTCCGTGTATTCATAAGCTACACATCAAGCACTGTGTATTTATAAGTTACATAATAATATAGTGTTTCATGTATTCATAAGCTACACATCAAGCACTGTGTATTTATAAGTTACACTGAACGCTCTGTGTACTCATATATTACATAATATGTATTCATAAGCTACACGTAACGTTTAATGTATTCATAAGCTACATAGAACTTTCTATGTATTTATAATATAAGCCATACTGAATTTTCTATGTATTCTTTAGCCACATAGAACTTTCTATGTATTCATAAGCTGCACATAAATTCATGTGTATTCATAAATCACATAGAACTTCCTATGTATTCATGAGCCACACAGAACTTCCTATGTATTCATAAGTCACATAGAACGTTCTATGTATATAAGCTAGGACAGGACCTTTGATAAATCGTGACGTCTTTTCGCACGCCTCCGCTGTGCTGTATTAGATAGAGGGAGAGGAGGGGAGGTTGGCTTAGACAGTCTTTTAATGCTTCGTATTCAGTGTAGACTTAGTTTATTTTTAGCTGCGCTTCCTTGATCTAACCGGTTATGTGTTTTAAGGCACGGATTGCAACATTTTCACCGATTTTTACACACTATGTCACCCAATTTTTACCTGTCACAAGGTGTCACTATGTCACCCAATTTTTACCTGTTACAAGGTGTCACAATGCCACCCATAACTTTCTCACCCTTAAGAAAATCTAGTCAAGAGCTAGTAGACAAATTGTAGTTAAAACATCTGTTCTAACACCTCCAACATCACCACTCCACCCCCAACACCAACCCAACCTACATCTAAATTTACCTCCACTACTGCACTACACTCAAACTCCCACCTCACTCACATTTACCACCAACACCACCACATAAGTAACACTACTCTCCCCCTCATCTTTTCCACCACCACTACCATCATCACCGTCACCCAGATAAAACCATCATCTTCATCACCCCCATCATATACCTCCACCTCCACCCACTACTTATACCAGCCTCACCGCAAAAACCTAAAATTACTACCACTATTGTTCGCCACTTCCACCCCACACCATTCTCGCCTTCTCCAACCCTCACGACTACCGGCCCACCCCCACCCACCGCACCGTACCGAGGCCACACCACAACCCCCAATGTCTGCCTCGCACATTCAACTTACCACCTTCGCCACCAACTACCAACTACCAACATATGACGTCATTAAAGATATATCATAGCTCCATTCAACTCCTTCTTACCCGTGCATTAATTTTATGTGCCATTGAACGTGATAGTGTAGATTGAATAGAGTCGGGTTTATATATAGTCATGGCTTGTAATTTAATACACAGAAACCTGTCATAGACGTATAGGCGTACATAAAAACACAAAACCTGTTAAACTGAACATACACGGTTTTACATAGCCCACATAAAGACACACATACATCGCCTTAAAAAGACACTACTTAAACACACATAAATATCCTTTAAAACACACAAATTAAGCACATAGCCACATCATATAGACTAGATAGTCTCTCTCGCTTTCTGTTTTTATTAATGTCATCCCCGATTGCAAGACCTTTACTAACAAAATACGACAACATTCTTAAACTTCGAATATGTTTTTGTCTATCACCAATACCATTAAATTTTATGACTTATTAAGTTTTTTGTCAAAATTTCAATCCAGCGGTAACAACAACGCGGCTGTCGAACTGACATTTCAATCCGTTTTAACATGACTCCTTGACTGACATTTAATGACAGTTTCAATCCGTCTGTTTAACCAAGTGACATTAATGACAGTTCTAATTGATACATTTATCCAGGTAACAAGAGCTAATCTTCAAGCGTTAGACACTTTAGTTTTTTTTTCCTTTAAACGACTGTAATATCGATTTAATCAGGAAGATTAATATTGTCTGTAATTTAACTTTGTTTTATCGTAAATTATTTCCATTCAAGTAAAACGAAACTGCTGGACACTGCTAATGACATCAAATCTTTGCTCAACTGTAGACGTAGGCTCCATGCTTGAAAAATAAATAAATACATAAATTAGTAGACTACTTGATTTTTATTTATTGAAATGAGACGCTATTGATAATGATGTTCCATAACTTAAATTTAATAGACCAAATGTGAACAGCATGAAATTAGGTCACTGTAAAGCCTACGCCCATATAATAATAATAACAGGTATCCCTTAAACAAAGAGTAAAATTTACTTTTTAAAGCAATTTCTTTATCCAGTTAAAATAATACAATAGTAAGGGAAAAGAGGAGAAGGCGGCACTTGAAATTTTCGGGGGACACTGGGGGGGGGGGGGGGGGGTGGGAACAGAAGCAGCCTGGAAGAAACTCTGCACCCAACCGAAAATGCTAAATTGTTGGAGGGTTCGACACTGTTACCTCACCGGGTGACACCCGACCTTGTGACGTCAATGTATTGTGGTTTCTTTTGTAAATAACTGTTTAGTGTACATTATTTTTTCTTTTGTAACTAACTGTTTAGTGTACATCATTTTTTCTGTTGTAACTAACTGTTTAGTGTACACCATTTTTTTCTCTGTTGTAACTGTTTAGTGTACGCCATTTATCAAAGGTCAATGTTATTATTTCGTGTTGGCCTAAAACAGATGACATAGGTCCAAGTGTCGTCATTTGGGTGGGACATGGGCTGGTCCATTCCGAATTTCGCCCCTGCCCATCAAGAACTGTCCCTGTCTCTCATACTTACGTAAACACAGAATAAAACCTTGAAGCTAGATCCTACACTTTGGTTACATTTTCTTACATACTTAAAGCTTTTCCAAACTGCTTTAAAAAATTGTTTGGATAGATCTGGACTATGTACACAGTTTTTATTCTTCTGTGTTCCAAAGTTACGCAATCCTCTCTGTATACTTTCACTGCTAGGTTACTTCCCTTGCTGTCTTTCAATAACAATTTGTGTTTGCCTAACCCACCTACGTTCACCTGCACTAAAAAAAAACTTCGTCTTATGGAAGCAGCCATTTTGAATTTGTAATGAGCTTAGGTCTGTAATTTATGCAGAGCTTTCACATCCATCTTGTACGTCCAACAAGGAATAGCAATTATCGGATAAAATTTACCAATTATGCAAAAAGCCTTGAACTACTCATTTTGTTGAATTAAAAAAAAATCCAGCCTTTTTTAAAACGGTGGGATGGACCTAAACTTTTTAATTTTCAAAATACGTGCAATTTTTTTTAAAGTAACTAAAAGCGTGGTTGAACCCTGAATGTGGGTAGTTTAGTGGGTATCCTGAAAGTTTAGTGGGTACGCTGAAAGTTTAGTGGGGACCCTGAAAGTTTAGTGGGGACCCTGAAAGTTTAGGGGGAACCTTTCAAGTTTAGTGGGGACACTTAAGTGTTGTTGGTGTTTAAATCTTTTAATATAACGCCTTATACAATTTTCACTTTAAATACCTTTAAGCAGATGTTCTTATGTAAATTTACTATAAATGAGCTTTGTATCAAATGTTCATTATCATGTCGTGCCCTACATCCCCCCTGCTCATCATTTCCATAAAATCCCCCCCCCCCCCCCCCCCCCATAAATTTGCTCATTGTTAGACCACCTACGTCTACGTATAGGAGGGAAATCATTCGGGGCCTTCCAGTCTTAGGCTCAACAATCACAACACTTTTCAGAGTGACTTCCCTTTTTTGTTAGAATTAACGTTTTAGCTAGACTTCGCTGCCCTTGCTTTCTGCAACGTAATTCCGTACATTGTAAGGTACATTTTTATTTCCGCTCTTTAAAATCTGGGTAACTTTATGTTTGTTGAATCTATTCAAAATGAAATGTTGACATGTTGTATGATTTGTTTTCAACAGCGGACAGCAGCAGTGGTGGAGAGGGGAGGGCGTGGAATGATGACCCTAACAACAACCCCCACAGGAAGGAAACAAGCATGAATGGCACGCAGCACAGAGTGGACTTGTTGCCCACTGTACCCGAGCAGGCTGGTGAGGGCTTAGGTGTATATTGTGGTATTTTAGTTGGTGATGGTGTGGTTTTAGTTTGGTGATGTTGTGGTCATGGTTTGGTGATGTTGTGGTCTTGTTTGGTGATGTTGTGGTCTTGGTTTGGTGATGTTGTGGTCATGGTTTGGTGATGTTGGTTTGGTGATGTTGTGGTCTTGGTTTGGTGATGTTGTGGTCATGGTTTGGTGATGTTGGTTTGGTGATGTTGTGGTCTTGGTTTGGTGATGTTGTGGTCATGGTTTGGTGATGTTGGTTTGGTGATGTTGTGGTCATGGTTTGTTGATGTTGTGGTCATGGTTTGGTGATGTTGTGGTCATGGTTTGGTGATGTTGTGGTCATGGTTTGGTGATGTTGTGGTCTTGGTTTGGTGATGTTGTGGTCTTTGTTTGGTCCTGTTGGATTGGTGATGTTGTGGTCATAGTTTGGTGATGTTGTGGTCTTGGTTTGGTGATGTTGTGGTCATGGTTTGGTGATGTTGTGGTCATGGTTTGGTGATGTTGTGGTCATGGTTTGGTGTTGTGTTCATTTAATAAATATGTTTCGGTCATGCTTTGGTGCTGGTATGGTGTTGGTTTAAAGAAGATGTTGTGGTCATGAAGAATATAATGTTATCCTGGTTTGTTGTAGATGGTGTTGACATGTTTTAGTGAAGCTGGTGTGGCCATGGTTAAGTGAAGATGTTCTGTTTTATTATAAGTATATAAAGATGTCACACCTTTGTATATATTTTCATGCCACTATGTTTAAAGTAAAGATTTGTTTCTACTTTGATTTTTGTATCAGGCATTAACCATAAAAGATGTCATCTTTTTTGTAAAACTATTTTTATCTGCCATGCCATATTGTCGCACATAGTCACAAAAAGCCAAAACAAGACGTGTATTTCTACCTACACCACTGAATGTATTTTAAAATGTGATTCTCCTCAGCCATTGGGTACCTTCATTTATCCTTTGAGTACAACAAAACAGATTTGAGGATCAGGGTGTGGCAAGTCAGTGACCTGTTGTTACCTCCCCGTGAGTAGTCTCCAATCTACTTGTTGTTTCCATTTCATAAGTAGTCTCCCATTTATCATGTTGTAAGTAGTCTCCCATTCATCTATTGTTACCATCTTATGAGTAGTCTCCCATTTACCTGTTGTTACCATCTTATGAGTAGTCTCCCATTTACCTGTTGTTACCACCTTATGAGTAGTCTCCCATTTACCTGTTGTTACCACCTTATGAGTAGTCTCCCATTTACCTGTTGTTACCATCTTATGAGTAGTCTCCCATTTACCTGTTGTTACCACCTTATGAGTAGTCTCCCATTTACCTGTTGTTACCATCTTATGAGTAGTCTCCCATTTACCTGTTGTTACCACCTTATGAGTAGTCTCCCATTTACCTGTTGTTACCATCTTATAATTAGCCTCCAGTATTTGATATACTTAAATAAATCACGTATCTCAAAAAAAGATTGATTTAAAGAAAAGTAAAGTTAATTTTTGGTGTGTAAAATGGGTGTAAGTGGTGATCTATAAAATTATTTGACACACATAGGGGTAGGTTCTAAGTAGCATTGTAGAGGTGAATGGTTAAGAAATATGACGTTTTTATGACACATAAAAAAATTATTTTAGAGTGGAGAATTAAAAATAGTGCAGACTGGAGGGGGGCGGAAGGGGGGGGGGGGGGGTAACTTTTGTAAATATAAGGGTTGAAGGTAACAACATGCTTACATTTTTTTTAAAATTATGTCAAAATATCCACAACAAAGATTGTGTGTCAAATAAATTTGGTCATTTCAGAGCTTGATTAATAAAAAAAATCCTCTTAATATTCAACAGCTCAAACCTCCATGATTGAATCAATCTATGTCAAAAGTTACCTGATACCAGATGCTCAAAAAAAGACCAATAGGCAAACAGAAGAGGTCAAAGTTGAACCCGCCAACAAAGATAGCAACATAAACTCTCATGCACCAGAAAATGGCATCCAGTATATTTTCACATCATCGTCTTTCAGGTGGGTGAAATGAGTTTGTCTGCTGAAATAATAAGATAGCTACCTCAGTGGCGTAGCGAGGTCGGGTGTCACCCAGTGCGGCACTTAATGGTGTCACCCCCCAGAGGCGTTGCGACCCTTCCCGGGGACAAACTTTCAAACTTTCGATTTGCACCCCCCCCCCCCCTCAAGTTTTTCTCTCTATATTTTGCTATTTTTTGCCTTGGTGTCACCCCCCTAAATGGTGTCACCCGGTGCGGTTCGCACCCCCCGGCCCCCCTCGCTACGCCCCTGAGCTACCTTGATTAGATAAATTAATTAGATATGTGTGTTAAACATAGAATGTATTTGAAGTGAATCAACTAGGGTATTAATGTTATTTTTAGTAAACTCAGAATTCTTTTGTAATAATTGTGCTCGGTTACCCTTATAAAATCTGTCTGTTCATTTTTAGCTTTGACACACATTAAATCTACCTGTTTATTTTTAGATTTGACACACCTGTTATCTACCTGTTTATTTTTAGATTTGACAAAATCTACCTGTTTATTTTTAGATTTGACACACCTCTAATCTGTTTATTTTTAGATTTGACACACCTCTAATCTACCTGTTTATTTTTAGATTTGACACACCTCTAATCTACCTCGGAGTCACCCAAGACATCATAGACCAGCGCAGCCTGCAGCTTGAGGTGTGCATGACACAGAAACGCACACACAAAACCTTCCTGATGGCCATGGTCCACCTGCCCTTGAGCACCGCTGTCCGCAGACCTCTCCGGGAGAAATACTCGCTCATCCCCTGCATGAACCACACCATACCCAACAGCATGCGGGTCTACAGTGCTCGGGATTTGATGCTACAGAACTCCTCATCTATGTCCTGGCTTAACAAGGCATTGTCCAGATCAAATTCAATTCAGATAACAAACGGGTCTTCGACAGATAACCAAGATAATGAGGATATAGATAACTTGATTCGTAGGTTTGCGTCCGTATCTTCAGATGATTCTGATGGTTGTGATGACGGTGTTGGTAGCAGCATTGGCGTCAAGTCCAGCCTTGGAAGAAGCTTCACCTCAGTGAATGCTGATGAAGCTTCAGCATCATCTGATGAGGATGGTTCATCTGGACGCATGCGCACATCCAGCAGCAACTCCACGCCTGAACACCCTCAAAATGCTGTCAAAAAGAAAATTATCCCTAACGAGTTGTTGGATAAAACATCAAGTTCAGACGGCGAGACGACAGAATTTCAGCGCGTGCCGTATATCAGACAGGTGAGCGGTAAGTTCACGGTCATACGAGTGGATGAACCTCTCACTGAAGGTGGTGACACCCCATCAAGTCCTAAAACACCCACAGAAACCTTGGCCAATCAGGACACAAAACCTGAAACCTTGGTCACCCCTAGTGGTAAGAAAAAAATAATCCCAAATGAATTTTTCTCAAAAAAATTGAAAAATTCAGAAAAAGCTGAAGAAATTATAAATAACTCTACAGAAACAAAATCTGAATCTCATGAAAAATCTGACATAGAACAACACACAGTTCTGAGTTCAAATTTAAAACCTCAGGACAACACAGGATATGCAAGGAGTAAAAGTGAAAGTACAGATGAACCTGAGCTCTCCAGATTAAGAGTTTACAGCAACTCTGAAGCTTCATCAGAGGTGGGGTCAACGCCTGGCTCTCGTCCAGAGACCCCCGTCTGGGACTTCTACGACTTTACTGACGACACCGATAGCAAGGCAGACGCTCCGGTGCCAGAAGATGATGCAGCTAAAGCCCTGGGCACTCTGCAGGCCAGTCTGCTGAAGCTGAGCAGGAATCCACAGGTGCTGGATACTTGCAGAGTTGTGGGTCCTGTCCTACCCACAGTAATGCTGGATGACTTTGAATTGGATGAAGATAATGAAGAAGTGGACGCTAGTGATATTCAGAATCTCAAGGAGAATATGGAAGAGACAAATGTTCAGAGTGAAATTTAAGATGATTGTTTATAATATGTTTACAGTCAATATTTAAGATAAACAAACTGTAAAATATGCTAATCCATAATATGATTGAGTCATGTAACATTTATGTCTATAGTCATACATTTTTAATTAAATATCGTTTATTTTTTAGATATAACTTGTTAAATGTGTTAAACCCATAATATAACAGATTTAAAATATAAAGTGTGTAAAGTGGCATTTTAAATATTAAATCTTGATAAATTTTTAAAGTTGGAATTTTTTTTAATCTACAGATATTCTATTGTATAAAATTTTATAAATATTTTGTATAAAAGTAAAAACATACTTGTTATTTAAACTAATTATTAAACTGTTAAATTTATAATTTAAAATAATTAGTCAATTCTTGCTGTAAATTGGTCTTTTTCCCCAAGTTTTCAATCGTTTCAAGTTGATTACTATAGACTAGTGTACAATTAATTTGAAAACATAAACCATGCAAACTTTTATTATAACAAAAAAGTTCTGTATTATTATATAAATACCTCAGTAGTTTTAACAATAACTTTTCAGTTGATAATTGCAAAAAATTATTACTTAAGAACTTTTTCTAACCTCATTAAAATGTATGTTCTTAAGGAAATATGTCTTTAAACCTTGACGTGAAATGAAAGAAACCTCTATAAATCCTATTGAAGCAGAGAAAACAGTTGTTTTTTTGTTAATGGAATGCTAATATGTATGCTATGCTTTTCATGCTGCATCTTCCATTGTTTTAAACTAAATTCAAGTGGACCAAAAGGTCAACAGTTTGAATTTTCTACTGCTAAGGTCACATGAAGATGGCTCATGCTTACAAAGTTAACCCCAACCTATTAAATACATTCCATCATTGGTAAAGCAAATACTTCTGTATTCAATGTAAACATTGCTGAAATGGCAAAATGTTACAAAAAAGAATTAATAACCCCTTAAATTGAAACTTCATCAGATAAACTTAGTGCCTTTACCATTAAAAAAAGATTAAGGTGGTAAATCTTCAACCAGTTTTAACTTTTTAAATTGAGAAAGATAAGAATAAAAAATTGTCTGGTGAAAATTAGGTTGTTGAAATCAGTAATCAGATTCTGTTGTAAATACATACAATTTTCTGCAATGTTTAAATAAAACATGTATACTTGTGATACTTTTGAAAAGTAATTGTTTTCTATGTGTTACTTTAAATAAAGCCTCAAAAGAGGGCATACAGTTTGATGCTAATGTTTTAACAAAGGTCAAACATGACCTGCTAGTTAGGTCAGACTCTGGGCGTAGACTGAGGATAGTACAGAAGCATGGTTGGTGTGGTTGGTGCAGGCCACACTATGGCTAGGTACACACCATGGCTCAACTGGGACCACACCATGGCTCAACTGGGACCACACCATGGCTAGGAACACACCATGGCTCAACTGAGACCACACCATGGCTCAACTGGGACCACACCATGGCTAGGAACACACCATGGCTCAACTGAGACCACACCATGGCTCAACGGGGACCACACCATGGCTCAACTGGGACCACACCATGGCTCAACTGAGACCACACCATGGCTCAACTGAGACCACACCATGGCTCAACTGAGACCACACCATGGCTCAACTGAGAGCACACCATGGCTCAACTGAGACCACACCATGGCTCAACTGAGACCACACCATGGCTCAACTGAGACCACACCATGGCTCAGCTCAGGTCACAAAATGGTTAAAACAAGACAATAGATCAGGCTAACACATGGAAACAATGTGATCAATTAGTTTTTTCATTTAGGCAACTATTACTTTCAAATTTGCCAAGAACAATTATTTTAATGCACAACACAGTAATTTGTCAAAGATAACTACTTAACTATGTTTTATATTCTAAAACAACAAGAATTTTCATCTTCTTTGTACGTATAGCAACATGCTAAACTATTGCAACAGTTATAAAATCTGCTGCTCTTACCAATACTTAACATTAGGTTTTTAAATGCAGTGTTAAAATTATTTTCTAGAATATCAGTATTTTGGTGACACCATGGAAAAAATACCCTAGTCGTACCACAAAGCTAGTTGTTGTGGTATCTCTTATAATACAGAAGTAACTAAAATAAAATGTTAACGAATATATAACCCAATTTTTTTTAGTTACCCTTGTGTAAGGTGTCATTAGATAATGAGTTATATGTAATCTTTAAGGGTTGGGTTAGTCTAATTCACACCTACAACTAATATGAAGGCTGCAAGATGCAACAGACTGTTGAAATAATTCCAACAAAAACTAAATATAATTTTTAATATAAACATGATGGAAACACAGATTATTGCACAATAGTTTTAATTGCATTTAAAAAAAAAAAAGGTTGGTTACAATAGAAAAGAATCATTAATGATAAATATAAAGTCCAGTTGATGCAGATTCTGTACAAAGTTTTATGGGTGTGTACATTAACAAAGAAATGTCATTTAACTTAGAAAACAAAAACAAAATGCTTTCCATATCTTTTTAAATTAATTAAATTGTGAGCGGATGTTTAAAGTAAAAAACATGGAATGAAAAGATAAGGAACAGTGTGGAGAGCAGTATAAACAAATGATTATTATACAAACAAAATAAATTAAGCAGTCTAATTTGTATTTTACATTCTAAAAAATAAGTTATCAAATACCATTCATTGCTTTAAAAAACTCTAAAAGTTTTTTTATTTACATTTATCCAACCAAAATCTTATAAACAACACAATACTCTACTATAATTTGACGCAAAATCTTGGTTCAAGGCACCTATCTGCCTACTTGACTAGAAATTTGAATGTTCAGATTCTGACTACAAATTCTTTCCTTTTATTGACATTATTAAACTCAACACTTCGCTTCAATTTGGAACACAAAATATTGATCCATTGTTCAATATGTCACTAGATAGTCCAGACTTGTCAGATATTTTATGTAGGCTACAGACAGTTCACAACTTTCTCTCAAAAGGATCACCTCCCAGTAGATGTTGCAGTGGATTGGATATGTCATGGATTACTCTAGAAGCCTGGGAAGATTTTTTTTTTATTTGAATTTGTCAAATAATTAAACTTTAAAAAGGTAAAGCTTAACAATAACTAAAATTCATCAATTACAAGAATCATGTAGTGCAGGGGTCGGCAAAGTTACAATTTTCAAAATTTCCTAGCTTTTAAAGAGCCACTAACATTTTTATTTTAATATTATGATCTTTGATTAGGATTAGGTATATATATATATATATATATATATATATATATATATATATATATATATATATATATATATATATATATATATATATATATATATATATATATATCAATGTATGTAGTATGTAAGTGTGTGTGTGTCTGTTTGTCTTTTATTCATTACTACACCTTTCATCCGATCGCCATGAAACTTTAGGAAGCTGTTGATAATACTCATGGGGAGATATTTGCGAAAATAAAATGTCAAATTCGCAAATAGAATAGCGAGTGTTTATTGTTTATATTTATTATTATATCGTTCATTACCGAGTGTTGCAGACTAATATTTTTGTTAGTTTCAAGAAGAAAATAAAATAATTATTAATATTTGTCCATGGAACTGAAGAGCCGCATTGCCAACCCTTGATGTAGTGGTTTTTGGTAAACAGAAAGCTAGAAAACTTTTTTACTAAAAAGCACAGAAAAATTACTCTCAAGAAAGTACATAAATTTACAATTATATTAAAATAAAATAATAACATTAAAGAAACGGTTAGTGTTTAAAGGAAGGACAAAATCATCAGAGATTAATTCAAAGTTTCAAATTTCATTTGCATTAACAAAAAAAAAAACATAACTAGTTTTAAACTAATGAAAAATATGAGTATACATTAAGAAAACAACAATAGCTAATGATACTTACATGTTTCATGTCAGTAGCAAGGAACCTGAGGTAACAACCTTCGATTGTCTCCCCTGACACAGTGTATTTAGTTTCACTAATGCTCACAACACAGTCACGGTTTATTTGTTCACCTAAGTATTCAAACAAAAACAAAAAAGAGGAATTGATAATTTTAAATTTAACTTTAAAATTGTGTTTCTCTAAAAATTAAAACATATAACGTGATACATTTTCAAAGAGAAAAAAAATTGTTTGTCACTAATAAATACTAAACTCTTAAATATTATTTACAAATATAATTTTGAACAGTGTCTCTTAAATATTAAATATCCATTAAAATATAATCTTTATAATAATTACATCTCTTAGTTACACAAAACATTATCAGCTTTTGTAACTAGATGGCTAATGTTAGGTATAAAATAGTTTTCAGTGACAGAATATCTTTCCATTATGAAATATTTATTAACTTTGAGAAATTGAGCAATTAAAAAAAAAATTTAAATACCTAAGTCTCGTTTTCTTCCATAAATGTTAATTAAACTTTCAACCAGGAAACTCAGTCCTTCACCCAAAATAATACATGTGCCATACACCTGGGGATGAATAAAGGTTCAACTTAATAAGTAGCTTAGGATCACATATGTAAACCAGTTCAAATATTATAACACTCAGATAAGAATATTTCAACGTTTCTCAAAAAAATTATTTTGTTTTTGGGATTGTTTTTAGCTTTTATCAATGAGATGAAAGATTTTCAATAGCTTTTATAATTGAGATGAAAGATTTTCAATAATTTAATACTTGTCCATTAAAAGTTCATTAAAGATGAAAGGGAGTAAAACTGTTTCTGTGACTGTTGTATAAATTTAATTTTAAATAATCTGCTGCAAAATATAACTTTATTAACGTGGCAATATAATATATTATTATGTGTTGAAATACATAAAAATTTTATATATATTGCCATAAAATATAATTTTATGTAGGTTCCTGCAAAATATTATTTATATTTAATATATTACTGTATTTAATATAATTTCATAAATGTCACAATAAAATAAAATATAATTCTATTTAGACCTTTGTCACACTAAAATATAATTTCATATAGGTCCCAAAAATGTAATTTTATGCGTGCCCAAATAAAGTAAGCCTACCATTTCATAGTTGACCCAATATAAATATAATTTCAAATAGGTCCCAAAAAAGTACAATTCCATAGTTGTCCAAATAAAAATATAATTTCAAATAGGTCCCAAAAAAGTACTATTCCATAGTTGTCCAAATAAAAATATAATTTCAAATAGGTCCCAAAAAAGTACTATTCCATAGTTGTCCAAACAAAAATATAATTTCAAATAGGTCCCAAAACAGTACCATTTTGTAGCTGTCCCAATAAAAATCTAACTTGATATAGATCTGGCAAAAGTAACTGAGTAAATCCATGTGAATCAGTTGTGTGAACAAGTAAAATAACAACAGAAGATACCTGGAAATTCTCCATGGCCTGAGCAACTGTTTTGATAGGTGTGTCTTCAAGGTCAGTGCTATCTCTGACTATCAACTCCTCCCCCACATAGATTTCAGTGCAGTTGTTAAACCTAATTTAATGTAGATTGTCATAGACTTAATTGCAGTTGTTAAACCTAATTTAATTTAGATTGTCATAGTCATAGATTTTCAGTACTATTGTTAAACCTAATTTTAGTTAGATTGTTATAGAATTTCATTATGATTGCTATACCTGACTTTATAAAAATTTTAATAGGATTTTACAGCATCTTAGAAGAAATACAATGTTAAAGTTTATCAAGTTTAAAACTGCATAGACTACAAAGTTATTATTATAATATGTTTGCATATTTAAGTAAATATGCTTCAGAAGATTTCATCTTTCTAAAGTTTCTCCCATTTTAAAAAACTTACTTTACTGTTATAGCCTACCACTTACAAATATTTAACTTAAAAAATATTTCAATAAATAACAATCATGTAATGGTGGGACCAAGTTAAAGATGTTAAAATAAATAGAATGGAGGTTGTGTGTTTGGTATGAGTGATCTGTGTAGTTCTGTTTCATATGAGTGATCTGTGTAGTTCTGTTTCATATGTGTGATCTGTGTAGTTCTGTAAGGTGTTTAGTTTAAAATATTGCTGTGTGTTGCTGCATGTTTACCTTTTGAAGCACCAGAATTCCTCCAGGGCCTGTCTCCCACCCAACATCCAGTCCAAGAAAACCAGGCTAGATGTGGATGTCATGTGGATCACCTGGTTGAAAGAGAAAGATCATCAGATCAATGGGATAAACACTCACTTATTGAGGTGCTGGGTGACACTCAATAGGTGAACAGAAAGTTACTTATGTATACAGCCCTGGATTAAATATAGGCCACTGATACACAAGAATAGAGGCTCTCTGTCTTTCTAAGTAAATATATGTAGCATATATATATATATATATATATATACACAATACCAACCTGTTTCTGGCAGAAGTTGGCATCCCTGTAGCAGACGGTTGGGTCAGGTAAGACACACAGCAGAGCTGACTCACCCAGGCTGTAGTTGAAGTTCTGGACCGTCTCGTGGCTCATGTTGCAGTGGTACACCTGGGCACAGGTCAAAGGTCAGGTGTTAAAACAAGCAACAGTAGAAAGGTATGAAACATGGGTGGGTGGGGGACGATAGGCGCTAAGTTTAGGGGTAAAGGGAGTTCAACTCTAGACTCAGAGCAGCTGGACAATGTCCACCCATCTTCCCCCCTCCCATCCACATCTCTGAGGTCTATGAGAACTTCTTATGCTGGGTGAACTTTGGTAAGCTAGCACGACACCAACTGGCATCAGAACATGACTGGCACCAGAACAGTAGACTACAGTACTTATGCCCACCTGTAAAAAAAAAACCATTACATTTCCCACCTATATAGAACAGTACTTTAGCCCACCTGTAAAAACTACCTACATTAGCCCACCTGTAAAAACTACCTACATTAGCCCACCTGTAAAAACTACCTACATTAGCCCACCTGTAAAAACTACCTACATTAGCCCACCTGTAAAAAACTACCTACATTTGCCCACCTGTAAAAACTACCTACATTAGCCCACCTGTACCAGCACCAGCTGACCTACCTTGGTTGACTCCTGGCTGCAGACCACCGCCGCACACCCCGCCCCAACCTTGATGGTGGCCGTGATCTTGTCCCCTCCCACCAGCCCTCCCCCGTAGGTCATGGGATAGATCCACTTACAGGGGCCAGGTGTGGCGTGCTCAGGTACCAGGAAACGGAACTGTAGAACACACACAGGTGCATGGTAAAATTAGTTCTGTAGGCCTATCAGTAGTATGTCTGGTTAATCAACGTTGTTGCAACGTTCGATTTAGATTAGTTGTTACGGGCCAGTTGTAGGTTAGTTTAGAATAGGTTAGAATAGTCTAGAACTAGGGGAGAGTGCCTGTGTTAGTGGAGTTCACCTAACTGTGTAGTTACACTTGTGTGTTTATGTCTTGTAATCCCAAGGTCGAATGCGGGTATAAAAGGGGGAGTGAACGATTGTGTGGGGGGAGTCAGCGGGTTAGTAGCGGTTAGGACGAGGGCTGTTCTGGTACGCTTGAATGCATTGAGACGAATAAAAGGAGTGAAGTTCTACAGGAAGTGTTGTTGTTGATTTGAAATGAACACAGAACGTAACAACTGGTGGCCAGTATAAATCAAGTAGAAGCATAAACTTGATGCTGTCCTGTCGTTTGCCTGATGCTGTCCTGATGTTTGCCTGATGCTGTCCTGTCGTTTGCCTGATGCTGTCGTTTGCCTGATGCTGTCCTGATGTTGCCGGTTGCTGTCCTGATGTTTGCCGGTTGCTGTCCTGATGTTTGCCGGTTGCTGTCCTGATGTTTGCCGGTTGCTGTCCTGATGTTTGACGGTTGCTGTCCTGATGTTTGCCGGTTGCTGTCCTGATGTTTGCCGGTTGCTGTCCTGATGTTTGCCGGTTGCTGTCCTGATGTTTGCCGGTTGCTGTCCTGACGTTTGCCGGTTGCTGTCCTGACGTTTGTTGGATGCTGTCCTGACGTTTGTTGGATGCTGTCCTGACGTTTGCCGGATGCTGTGGGGATGCCATTAGCCCGACGCTATAGCTGTTTGACAGAGTATGTAACAACATCGACTGTGAGCTGCAAAGTTTTGTGATGTAAAATGTTTGAGATATGAGTAGGAGTCGTAAACCAGTGTAGCCATAGAGCGCACAGGGTAGACTCAAATTTTTGTGATGTAGAATGGTTGAGATATGGGTAGGAGTCATAAACCAGTGTAGCCATAGAGCGCAGGTTGACTCAAATTTTTTGTGATGTAGAATGGTTGAGATATAGGTAGGAGTCATAAACCAGTGTAGCCATAGAGCGCAGGTTGACTCAAATTTTTTGTGATGTAGAATGTTTGAGATATGAGTAGGAGTCATAAACCAGTGTAGCCATAGAGCGCAGGTTGACTCAAATTTTTTAGTGATGTAGAAAGGTTGAGATATGAATAGGAGTCATAAACCAGTGTAGCCATAGAGCGCAGGTTGACTCAAATTTTTTAGTGATGTAGAATGGTTGAGATATGAATAGGAGTCATAAACCAGTGTAGCCATAGAGCGCAGGTTGACTCAAATTTTTTGTGATGTAGAGTGGTTGAGATATAGGTAGGAGTCGTAAACCAGTGTAGCCATAGAGCGCAGGTTGACTCAAATTTTTTGTGATGTGGAATGGTTGAGATATGGGTAGGAGTCGTAAACCAGTGTAGCCAGAGAGCGCACAGGGTAGACTCAAAAAAATTTTGGTCTGGAAAGTTCTTAGATTCGGTACGATGCAACTGGGTGTGTATGATTTTTTGTTTGTTTGTTAGTTACACGGATGATTTGTGCTAGCTCGAAATTGTAGCAGTTCTGTATGTTGTCATTATGTATTTCATTGTATATACAATCTGTCATATACATTCTACGGAATGTATATTTTTAACTTGTCTACTAGTGGATGTGTATGAAAGGCTTTGTGTTTTTTATTTAGCTAGGATTTGTTAGTCAGTATTTGTAGTTATTACTACAAATACTTAGGTGGGGGGTAGTGTTACGGGCCAGTTGTAGGTTAGTTTAGAATAGGTTAGAATAGTCTAGAACTAGGGGAGAGTGCCTGTGTTAGTGGAGTTCACCTAACTGTGTAGTTACACTTGTGTGTTTATGTCTTGTAATCCCAAGGTCGAATGCGGGTATAAAAGGGGGAGTGAACGATTGTGTGGGGGGAGTCAGCGGGTTAGTAGCGGTTAGGACGAGGGCTGTTCTGGTACGCTTGAATGCATTGAGACGAATAAAAGGAGTGAAGTTCTACAGGAAGTGTTGTTGTTGATTTGAAATGAACACAGAACGTAACATTAGTGTCAGGAAAAATTTGAGATATTATACCTTAAGCTGGTGAGAAAATGTAGGGGAGGGGTGAGGAAGATGATTGGAGTGGGGGGATGGGGGAGATTCGTTTGCAGGGGATGTTATCTTTACTTTATGGCCTGCAGCTTAACAACAAGTACAGAACGGATCAATCCTAACAAAGGACATATTCGTATAGTGGGTACATTCTAAAAGCGAAATTTTAACATTGCATTCCCATTCCTGCGGAAATCCTTACAATCTTGATATTCTTACACTGCATTCTTACACTGGGTAAATTCTAATAAGGGACACATACATTTATGTGAACTCTACAGCACTGAATAAATCCTTAAAAATGTACACATTCTTACATTGGATAAATCATAAAACTATGCATTCTTATATTGGATAAATCCTAAAAAAATGTATGTATTCTTACATGGATAACTCCTAAAAATTGAAGTATTCTTATAATTATTGATACAAATTCTAGCAAAGTGCACTATTTTGGATCGAACAACGTACCGGATATGAATGTTTGATGGTCATCACTTCCGACTTATAAAACGGGATTTTGTCGTCTGTTCTCCGCCTCACAGCCTCGAGTTCAATGTATCCCTCCCCCACACTGGCCGCTCGTTGGGACTCCATCTTGTCACAACTTTTCTTTTGGTAGTTCTTTCAACTTTTGTTTTGGTAGTTCTTTCAACTTTTGGATTTTAGAACTTTTGTTCTGAACTTTTGTCTCTGGTAACTTTTGTTATGAACTTTTGTCTCTGGTAACTTTTATTCTAAACTTTATTCCACTAAACCACGAAATGCTGGCCGTCAAAGTCTTCCACTTAATATTCAGTGAATATATAGATCTAGGCCTAGTATCTGCAGGCCTCTGTACTACTTTACTGTAATTTATCGATTGCAGTAGTACGCTCACAATGTGTTTTCCTGCTGTGTATTCTGTGACGTCAATTTGGGCAGTCTAAAGAATTGAATAAAATTCGATGCTTAGATCTATAGGTCAACAATTGGAGGTCGACACTTAGGGATCGTCCATAAGAGACGCCTTACACATGGGGAGTTGGGGCGGGCTACAGGACACTACCCCCCCCCCCCCGGAAATTACCCCCACCCCCATATTTCCCCCCGGAGCAATTACCCCCCTGTCAATTACCCCCCTCCCCCTCCAAGGAATTCCCCCCCCCCTCTCAAGTTAGAATCCTAACTCTAACTAGAATTCTATACCGATATACTACTTTAATCCTAACCTTAAGAAAAAGACCAAAACCTAAGCATCCACCTTTGACTAAAACTTAACACAAAACCGAAACCAACGCTAGACATTGGTTTAAGCCTAACCCTAGCCCTAACATTAGCCCTAACACTAACCCTAACCCAGAGGCGTAGCGATGGGGGGGGGCAGGGGGGGACATATGTCGACCTTAGGGGGCGCCAAAATGGGTTGTAAAAACAAATTAAATTGTCTTTTTACCTGCATTTTTGCAGTTTGAGGGGGGGGGGGGATGCAAATCGAAAAGTTGAGGGGGGTGCACATTGACAATTTGCTCCCGAGGGGGGCGCCAAATTGAAAGTTTGTCCCCGGGCGCCGGGAAGGGTCGCTTCGCCTCTGCCCTAACCCTAACTGAATTTTAGCCGTTATTTCGCCTTTTCAAAACGGTATATGAGAAGGGGGGGTTCAAATCGAAAAGTTGAGGGGGGTGCACATTGACAATTTGCTCCCGAGGGGGGCGCCAAATTGAAAGTTTGTCCCCGGGCGCCGGGAAGGGTCGCTTCGCCTCTGCCCTAACCCTAACTGAATTTTAGCCGTTATTTTGCTTTTTCAAAACGGCATATGAGAAGGGTAGGGGGGAGGGGGAGAGAGTCTAGCTTTTTGTAACGATGTATGACCTCTTATTAGATTAAGAATTTTTAATTAATACGACCAAATATTTATCAAGGCTTTCACCAATATCGACAATAAGCCTAACATTGAAATCTAGACTGAACATTGGCTTATATTCGAGATAGCGTAAACAAGAGCAGCTAATTGCGTGGCGATGTAGATTGTAGGAACCACGGGAAAAAATACATTCAAGGCCTCGGTAAGTAGGTCAGTCGAGTTACTGTTGTGGCACACCGATTAGAATTTAGATCAACATCTAGATAAGGTCATAGAATTTGGATTTTGTCCAGTTAAGCCCCGCCAAAAAAGTTTAAGTAAATTACTTTGATTGGCGTTAACGGCACACAATACGAATTACGATTGCATCGTCGAGGCTTGTTTAGAGATCGTTCATCGTTCACAAAGAACGATGCATTTTTAGGAAATGGGGGGGGGGGGGGGGGGGGTCTGGTATTGGAGAAGGGAGGGTGCGGTCTTACTTTTTTCCCGAAATGCCACCCGATTTAGGGTGGTGGGCTATAAAACTATAGATAAGGATATAAGATGTGACTTGCAATTGAAATTTTCGTAGCATCCAAAATAATAAAACCAACATTTTATAAATTTGGTTCGTATTTGTAGTCCATAATCTTAGGGTAGTTAATTTTTTTTAATTAATGGGTTTGGGGAATGTTATGACGATTTTAATTAGAATAACCTTTAGTGAGACGTAAACGAGGTGGGGGGGAATTTATTTAAAAAAACAGGCTATCATAATAGGATACCTCTAATGTCAACAATACATGTTTTATAATTAAATTCACAGGAGGCAAAATAAATCGGACTGATCTATAAATAGATTCTACAGAGAAAAATCGTTGGGCCTGGTAAACAAACGCTCACTAGGTCACGTGATTCGTGTTCCCGAGGGCTATTTATATCGGAGCACCAACCAGCTGGGCCCCTGATAGTATTTATAGATCTAGATCTAGTAACACTAGCTCTTCAACTGTTAATAGTTAATACCATTATTACTAGATCTAGATCTAGATCTACAGTATAGAACAGTAGAGATTCTATATTATACCGTTTTAAAATTGTGTTTATACTTTATACAGTACAATGTGTAAATGAAAAAATACAGACGTGAAGTAGTGTTGATAAAACTAAAAGAACTGTTATTTGAGTTAAGTGTGACAAAAATCAATTCGTTAATTCTAACTGTAAAGCATTTAAAATAAAGCAGTAACTAAAGCAGTACAAGTACCTTGTTTACGATAGACACGCCTTCACTACACTTCCGTTGTTGAAGCCATTTATCCGACTTATCCCCCTTTATATAGCCCGCCGTGTCAACAACTCAAGGCCAGTGTGTAGCGCAGACGTCTGCTGCCAACACCATAACACCTTGAAAAACAGCTGATATATTTCTACGTCAAATCCGATAGCTAAAACAAGGATGTCATTTTTTACATGTATCTTTAAGAAGGAATACGTATATTGCATAAAGTAAGGCGTAGTCCTCTTTAATTTATTCATTACTGGTGTTCTCAAAGTACCTGGATATATTTACTGCAAGCCTATACATTAGTATTCGAAACAACATTTGTGTGTATAATGCTGTAAGACTGCAACAGTTGTCTAGCCAGTGTTAGGCGGGCGTTCAAGATGGACATGATTCCCCCATACAATAAAATGTGTACACTGATGGGGTCATGAGTACAATTTTAGAACCGCCAGAGAAATGACCAGACGGAACAGCTGTGGCGACGTACAGGCCGTCTGGTAAACTGCGACATGCTGAAATGTCGGTGGAGACATGCATGCTGGAGACAGTCTCACGTGATAATTAATTCGGTTAATAATTAAATCTTATAAAACATGTTTGAAAAAAAAGCAGAAATACTCTTTATAGTACATGCTTGGTATATAGAATCTACTAGTTTTCTTTACGTAATAGGGGAGAGGTAATAATTCAAAATTACAGTGGTAGGTCTACTCTAACTCATAAATCGAACGTGCCGCAGAACAAACGCTGCCACGACAGCGAAATTGACATGTTTCGCAGAACGAAATTATTGCCATAGGTCCAAACTGCAACATCACAAATTGTTCCGGGAAAATTGAAACCCTCATTTAGTGTTATTCCTATGGTGCTGATATATTTGTTATTCTCCTTGTTTTTTCTCCTTATTTTTTTCACCCTATTCTTGTTTTGACGGTGATTGCGTTACGGATATAATCAAGCGCGCCCATCCCATTGTCTAATTAATTGTATCGTAAACAAGGACGATGGGTGGGGGATGGGGGAGGTTGTTGTACCAGACCACGGGGAATCGATTTTTTCTAATGTACACATAGTTGTACACTATTTTATCATTTATTATTTCTACACTAAACAGTAGTTTAATTGTAATTGCTTTCAATTATGGGGTATGGTTAATGTTTTCTAAAATTGTAGATATGTTTAAATGTATTTTTGAAAATGCGTCATGCACGTAAACTATGGTTAAATTGTTCGCAAATTTTCATTTTTTTTTTTTTTTGCTCAGTGTCTAAATGAATTAAAAGATTTCCCCAAATATTTCTATGGTAAATCATGATTCGTAGATCGAACACATCGTAGATCGAGCTGCGCCTGTTCCGCAAGGTGCCATTGTAATATGGGTCCTAGGTGCTTTGACCACAGGTGCTTTGAACATAGGGGGTTTGACCATAGGGGGTTTGACCACAGGGGGTTTGACCATAGCGGTGCTTTGACCATAGGGGGTTTGACCATAGGGGGTTTGACCACAGCGGTGCTTTGACCATAGCGGTGCTTTGACCATAGGGGGTTTGACCATAGGGGGTTTGACCATAGGGGGTTTGACCACAGCGGTGCTTTGACCATAGGGGTTTGACCATAGGGGGTTTGACCACAGCGGTGCTTTTACCATAGGGGGTTTGACCATAGGGGGTTTGACCACAGCGGTGCTTTGACCATAGGGGGTTTGACCATAGGGGGTTTGACCATAGGGGGTTTGACCATAGGGGGTTTGACCACAGCGGTGCTTTGACTATAGCGGTGCTTTGACCATAGGGGGTTTGACCATAGGGGGTTTGACCATAGCGGTGCTTTGAGCATAGGGTTTTGACCATAGGTGGTTTGACCACAGTAGTGTTATGTGGGATAGGGATATTCGGGGAGGGGGTATGGTTGCCGTGGGTAATGCTAGGGATATTTGTGATTTTAGAACACCTCCCCTAACACCAACAGCCCCTCCCCCTTCACAACATCCTACCTCCCTAGTGTTGAAAATCGATGGCATACTATGTTACTCCTTGGATATGAGCATTGATTTAACTTAATAAAGTTCCTTTCGACACTAGGTATACGAATCTGTGTTGATAAAAATGATCAGACAATGAACTAAAATGTTTTATTCCCTGGAGTTAGATGTTAGTTTACAAGGCCCGTCAGCAAGGTCAGAACGATGTAACCGCTCGTGTACACTCACCAGGTGTGGCACGGGAAGTGTTACATGAAATCTCGGCCCCAGTTCAAGGACGGCCCTCCAAAGTTCGGTCGGTCATTATGTAACACTTTTTGTTCGGGACCGGAGCACGGCGACATACACAACGCTGGGTCATGCTGACCTCCTGGTATTATGGATCGTATTTCTTTTTACCCGAATTCTAATGCAAGTTATAGTAATATACATTTCTGGAGAAATACCCCGTTTTTTTTAAAAATATATTTGATGTTGGTTAAGTGGTCGTATGTCTATGAATTACGTCATTCAACTTTTGACGTCATGTACTAGAAAAAGCCATAC